CACGTCCAGTCTCATGAGATAGAACCACATAAGGCAGGCTCTGCTTGGAGGACTATAGGGGAAACTGAGAGAAAATTTCAGGAACCCCTAACATAGAACATTATCTTCTAGGATGCATTACTTTTCATCTTTCTAGTCAAAACCTTAAAATATCTTTCTTTTTAACTGCAGATCACTTAGAATTGGCATATATTAGATACTCAACAAATGTCTCAGCTTAAGATCCATGTGTTGCAGAGGTTATGCCCACTGGGCTGAGGGTTTCTATGAAACCCCATTATTGAGGAAACAGGAAAGACACATTTCCTATTTAAGACCTTAAATGGGTAGAATTACATTTATTTATTTTTTAAATTAGTTTTAGATTAGTACTAATGGATATAGACACAGATTAATACTTTATCTATTGCCTGTGTGTATATATAGAATGTGGGCTTCTGGGAAGACTCTATGCTAGGAATTTGATTTAAGCTATCTGACGCTGCAAGCATCTCTGTAAACTGCTGAAGCTACTTGGTGACACAATGCATTTTCCAGTTCTATAATGTGATATTAATACAAAACCGGAAATCTATTCAGTTTTGGTATTCATGAGACAAATTACCAAGGCTGCCAAATTTCCACTGTGGAAAATTCCATCAATGACAAAGATGCCCAGACAGTATGCAGACCATATGAGTTTGGTGGTGTATTTCTTAGAGCTCTCATTGAGACCTCTTTTTCTTTTGGTAAGGTGAATTTTAAAGAGAAATTTTTTCTATAAAACTTTTTAAAAAATGAACTATTGTTTTGAGTTTTCCTCCAAATCTAGGAAGCCATTTATTTTGGAATTTGGGCCCTTATTTTTTTTTTTTTATTACACTTATTCATGATGGGTTGGTGGTGATTTTACTCAAGTCCTTAGAGTTAAAAGCAGAGAATTGACTGGTCTCAGAGAAAGGAAGCATATAAGAATTTTACATGATGACACAATAGCTTATTTACCATCGAATCCTTGCCAGGTGTGTTAGCTTGAGTCTGTAATCCCAGCTACTTGGGATGCTGAGGTGGGAGGCCAGGAGTTTGAGACCAGCCTGGGCAACATAGCAAGACTCTCAGCTCAAAAAAAAAAAAAAAGCCTCATGGAATCCTTAGGCTTGCTTCACTCAGAATATCTTTTAAAAAATGAATCAAAATGTTCATAGGGCCCTTCAAAACAATGGTATTCAAAGTGCTAGTCCACAGTAAGAAAGGAGTTTGTCCAGATTGTGAATCGGTGCATTGCTTCCTTTAATAAGAAAGTCTTGCTCTCAGAAGTCAGCTTAATGCCATGCAAACAGCCAAACCAAACCTGGACTCTTAGCTTCACTCCTGAAAGACATAGGAGAAATGGCAGCCCAGTGTTCCTATAGCTTAGGTGAGTTCCTGAACCTCGGTGTGTCTCAGGCCCTGGGGACTAAGGCACAGGTAAGGGAGAGGGAAAGTGTGAGCCAGAAGCTCAGTGGGTGAGGGGAGTAATCAAGATGTCAGCAAGGAGTGGGCAGAGGTGGTGCAGGCAATGGCGCCCTAAGATAGACCTTCATGACAGCTGAGCCCTAGCAGGAGGGAGAGGGAGCAAGGGGAAGAAATGAGGCATGTGGGCTCTGGTATACCGGGGCAAGAGGGAGGGGGGTGGTATCCATTTGAGAGGGTTGGGGAGGAAAGACCTGGGCTTCCTTGGTGCATCGCCAAGGTTTTATTTGAGCCAGGAAGGTACAGGGACTTTTAACTAGAGTTGGGGAAATGAGGAGCTTGTGGAGTCACAGGCAGTGAGCCCAGGGAGCACCATGGAAGGGTGTTCAGGGGACATGAGGGGCTTTTGAGGGTTGGCAGGGCAGGCACGAGCAATGTTGGGGTGAAGGACTGGATAACCAGGGACTTGTCGTGATGTTCGAGAGAAAAGGGAAATGAGACAGGTTGGGATAAGTCCTGATGCTCTCTTGGAGCAGAATGGGATGAAACTCTTAGCTCAGTGATACGGGAGCTTCAGATCAGATGTTCTCCCCACTCCTGATGTCCAAGAGATTGGGCTGCTGTATCACCTACATACTCAATAGGGTTGTCGCCAGTTAACTGAGATAATATAGTACAATAGTATCTATCTGCGGGTATTATTATTAAACATATTTTTTCAAAAATATTTATACAGCACCAACTGTATGCAGGTCTCACAGGTATATAAATACAAAATTGTTACCTATGCCTCTAAGTAGCTTCAGTCTTATAAAAAGAAATTTATTCTGTTTAGAGAGAATACATCGGTGAAAGGACATTGTTCAGATAATCTGTGCCCCAAAGCACAACAAAGCAAATAAATGCAAATACAGTAGCCTATTTCCTAAAGAAAATATGCGTTTACTGCTTTCAAGGTCGACATGGGAAAACTAGTTTAATCGATTTTAATTTTGAAGATGATGAAATGGTATTTTCCACCAACTTTTCCCCCTGCTTATAATAATAAAAGAAAAAATGTGTAAATCAATGCAAAAAAGTTAAATACTTGCCTTGGTCGGGTTAGAGTGTGAAGTAAATCAAGTGGCAATTTAATTCCCAACGAACATGTGACAACCAGGGAGTTAAATATTAGATTTAAATATGGCAGCTAATTCTCTGCAAGAATTACATTTGTGTCTTTATATGGGCACTCTACCTAATGAACACATTTCTCTCCTCTTAAATTCAGGCGTCGCTACTGGAGCATGAGAAATTAATATATGTTCTTATATTCATTAATATTGTTGCTCATAAAAAGACCCTTTGATTTTTATCACCTGGAGTTCCCAGAGGCTCAGAGAGCCATTCACAGCTCCAAACCATATGAATTATCAGGGGGAAAAAATCCCATTAAAGCAAAACCTTAATCACCACTCATAGTTTATGTAAAGTTGTGTCTAGAAAGAAACTGTATAGGGTATCCATCAACATTGAATGGGTAAATAAATGGTGGTATAGTGCTTCTACAGAATATTATAAAGTAGTAAGAGGGAAAGAATTACTACTACACACACAATGTAACTCAGTCTCAAGAGCATTGTTCAGAGAAAGATGAAAGATATGGAAGAATTCATATAGTACGATTCCATTTATATAGGCTTGAAACAGGCAAAGCTGCACTATGTCTTGTTAGGGATATAATATTGGTAGCAAACTTAGAAAGGAAATGATTAACACAAAATTTAAGATAATGGGTATCCCTGGGAGATAAATAGGGAAGTGAATACAATCACGAAAGAATACAGTTATGTTCCTACTGTACTGGTGGTATTCTGTTTCTTAAATGAGATGATGGGTTTCGTAAGTATTCATTTTATTATTATTCTTTAAACTGCAGGGATATGTTTTATATTTCCTTCTGTTTTTATAATGCAGTTCACAATCAAGGGAAAAAAAAACTTTTAAATAAAAATTCTCAGATTCCACCACAGTACTAAATCTCTACTTTGTGCTTAGCACCTCAGGGGTTGCACAGGGTCTCAGGAGACATACAGGACTCCCTCTTCACCTTGGCAGCTTGCAGGTGTGAAATGACTGAAGCATAAATCCGAATACAACTAAGCACAAGCCATGATCTAATGTGAATTGAGAAGAGGAGATCTTTGGTGGTCAAAGTGGTCCTGGAAAGCTATCTCCCAGGGAGCAAGAATTTGAGCTGGACTTTGAAGGGTGGACTGAGCAGAGAGAAAGCCTGGGGATCGTTTTTACTTTTTACTCTATTTCTCATGTAAATCAAGTCTCTAGTCATGTTTAACACGATTTACAATTGAAAAGAGACTTGGTGGCGTAGAAGAAAGAGCCTGGACTCTGGATTCAGACAGACTTGGGTTCAGATCCCAATTCCATTCCCAGACTGAATCCTTGACATTCCTGCAGACTGTTTGCCCACTTATAAAATGCAGAGACGAATGGGCTTGTGAGAACGAATTGCGAGAACATTGGTGGCCACACATTGCCCTAAGAGGGCATTGCAATCTCTCTTTATACACTGCCCTCCAGGGGCAAGGAGTTCAGAAAAGAATGGTGGCCAAGACCCAGCGATACGCCAGTGCTAAGGAGCCAACATTTAATGTGCTGGGTGAAGAGACTCAGACTTGCACTGGAGTTTTGTCCTCTGTGGAGTCTCCTTGTGGGTTTCTCCTCCGTGACGTCTGTCCTCTCTCTGGTGTCCACCTTGCAGCCAGTGAGCTTCTTAGGATCCTTGACTGCCTCCTGCCTTGCTCCCCAAGAAGGCATCTGGAGGAGTGACTTGGGCCAGCTCTGCTCCAGACTGTAGGGAGAAATATTCTTCTCTCTTCCCCAGATTCATCTATTCTTGTCTCTTCTTGGCTTTGGAGAGCCAGGACTGAGGCCTGACTTTAGAAAGGGGCTAAGAAAGCCAGCTTCTAGCACAGTCTAGATATTTCTTGTCTAAGCAAAAGAAGTCAGTGGGGCTCAGCCGTGGTCTATCTCACCTCACAGAAGGCTAAAACTTGGGTGAGGCCAAAGCCTTAACTAACACTGCACACATCTTGCATTTTTCCCTTTGTGTCCTTTGAGCCTATCTCCCTTAGGAGTCTGAGATGGCTTAACAAAGCATTAGGGATTCCTGGCTATGTCTCTGCCTTGCCCCACCAGACACATGACTAACAAATATATGCAAAGAATCTTCCTTATAAAGAGGCTTCTGACTAATGTTAATTTTTTTCTCATTTCTCCCCTTCCCTAGTCTGTAGAGTTCATCAACGATATTTTGTAGCCAACAGCTAGGCCTCTACTTTAGTCTTATCCAAAACAATAATTGAATTCTGAAGAGCAAGCTGATGAAACCTTCTTCCAGGCATTTGGGCTGGACTGTGAAGATGGACAATGAGCTTCTCTTTGGTTCACTGTGTGCAGAGGACAGAGCCCTGGGCCTGCACACTCAGGCGTAGGCCACTGACTCCCCGCCCTCTGCCTTCCCCTCCACAAGCTTCAATTCCAATTTCCATTCTGTCTTTGTTTTACAGTTGTTCAGCACATCAAGCGACATAACATTGTTCTGAAAAGGGAGCTAGGCGAAGGAGCCTTTGGAAAAGTTTTCCTAGCTGAATGCTATAACCTCTGTCCTGAGCAGGACAAGATCTTGGTGGCAGTGAAGGTAAGAGAACATTCCAGAATGTCTCGTTATCTGTGGTCACACTAATGTGTGGAAGTTTTATTTTATTTTATTTTATTACATTTTAGTGGCCAATTCAGGAGCAAATTGTGTCTGCTATGGTGGATGTATTCAAATTCCTTTAGCTAAATGGGCAGTGGGAAGGCTACTTGGGGCATATTCAACTGTCAGAGGTTCTTCTCAGGGGCAACGACCAGTCTGCAGGCTATAAATAGCTCTAAGCTACTCTTCCACGTCCATGTTAACTAAATTCCGGACGGAAGTCAGTGAGGTCAAACAGAATTCAACCAGCTAAGTCTTGAAGAATCAAACTTGTCTTCCCAGATTGCTTGGTGCTTTTGCCAAGCTCAGCTGAAGCTTTTCTCAGGTTCATGGTCTAGAAGGGAGGATTGTGGACTTTATTTACCCTCTCAGCCTCTGCTCCACTCAGTTCTCTACCTTGTCCCTCCCAGATGTTTCCAAGGCCCCGCAGCGCAGGCATGATTTCATCCGGGTGGACAGCATCTCCTGTGGACTCTACCATCCTAGGAGACACGGGGCTCTTACTAAAATAAACAAGGCTAAAAGTCCTTTATCATAGACATATCCTCATAAACTAAAAAAAAAGAGCCCTAGCCTTTGATAAGATAAACATTATTATTGATAAAGATAAAATTTCCATTGAGCTCTCTGAAACATAGGAATTAACAAAAATAGCACAAACAACTTGAGCAGATATTTTATATATGCATTGTCAAAATTAAAAAAATTTCACCAAAGTATTGAGTGATATATATAAAACACTTAAAAGAAGCATATATTTAGAAAATGAATTGAGTGCCAAATGAATATGGGCATGGCCAATTGTACTAAAATGTAACTTCTTGGTTTAATATAAGATGATTGAGTTTTTTGTTGTCTTTTATATCTGCCAAACAGGAAACATTTGTATGAATGGCATTTGTTTACTAGTTATAACCAGGCCAACTTCTCATTTTTAAAAATCAAGTGACTGTTATACTTAGCATTAAATTGTTTCAGGCCATACCTAATGGGTAATTGAGGAGAGAAATAAAATTATTCTTGGATTTAGCCATCCTAAATGGTTTAGGATGAGTTAAAGTTCATCCATATGGAAAAACTGTGCATTTGCTTTCCTTGTCGTTGAAAGATACTAACCAGGGTGACACGATACTCCAAAACTCTCAGAGAAGCCTCCAAACAGCTGCGCTTTGGAGTGAATAAAGGAGAGACCTTTCTAGGGATGGCACATGTAAAATATATCAAATAAATATTGTCTCCCCAAGATAGGCAAATGGAGGGGGAGCGTACACAGGGGTGTGAGGAGAAGAGGTGAGGTCGAATGGGGTAGAAGGTGCGACGTGAGACTCATGCAGTGGTTCTGGGGATGTTTAATTGCTGTGATTGCTACTACTTCTTCTTTTCTTTCATTTACTCAAAAAGTTTTGTTGTTGTTTTTTTAGCACAAAATGTTCAGAACATTCGGCAGTGTTACATCTGCAGTTTTTGCTTTCTTCTGCTTCTTTTTTTTTTTTCTTTTGGTTCAATTGGACCAAAAGGTGGCTCTATTTTTGTAAATTCATAATCTGATCAAATGTTATAGCTGGAAGAATCTTGGGGAACATGTAATCCTATCCTAGCCATGTGTTACAGGCAAGGAAACTGAAGACCCTGGATTTGTACTCTGAGCCCACATTTTGTGCTGCCACTTGGAGGCCACCCAGGAAGCTAAGTCAGGACTTCAGACTCCGAATTCACTTCCCAGTGTCACAAAGTGGAAATCTTTGAATGTGAGAAAATGCTGCGAGATTAGAGAATCCTAGATGATAGTGTAGGAATAGCTGAAAAATCTCAGCCAGATAAAGAGATAGATCTAAAAACTTTCTCCGTGGGTAGAGCCTTCCATCTTAGTGCCATTCCTTCTCCTGTGCGTACTTCTCTGTGCTTCCTGCAGTGCCCTTAAGGAGAGGGTGTTTCATAACTAAATCCAGGGCACCTTCAACCTGTGCGTCACATGTCCCTCTAAACACATGCTGAAACAGGACTTCAGCGCTTGGACCCCTAACAATGAAGGGTTAGCTGGTGACAGCAATGTTTAGCCACTGGTACCTGGGCTGGCCTTAAGAGAGACCACACAGCATCCCACCCTCCTGTCCACCACGAGCTTCTACTTGGGCATATCTGCCATCACCACTGTCAGGGAGGCTCCTCTCTGGTTTAAATCTCAATTATACCCCTAATCCCACCTCTGAACCAGACCCAGGACCTAGTCTTCAAGTATCTCCTGGCTTTGCCAAGTAAGTGTTTACAAATTAATGGCTGTGACGATGAGTGTTTGTTTGTTAATCAACGTGGCAAAAAAAAAAAAAAAAAGTGGTGGGAGGGATGGGACCCTTTACCAAATCCTGACTTCTTCTCTTTGCTATCCCCCTTATTGTTAAAATTCGAATGAAACTGTCATCTCAAATAGGGAGGACAAAATGTCTGCAGACTGAAAACTCATTCTAACTTCGTGGTCACTAACCTAAGAAATCTCACGTCAGTGACCCTGCATGTGAGTTTTTGTTGAAATAAGAAGGTTTGCTTATGTTTGCTAGAATAATTCCAAGCTTCTGAAAGAAGGTTCATTTCGATTTTCTGGGATTCAGAGGCTGCAGCCTTGTAAGGGACACAAGCTGGATCTTCCACGAGCTCCAGGGTGAGCTGGGCCAGAGTAACCCATGGACCTTTCACAATGCTGCCTCTCGCCAGCCTGACCCGCTCATTTTTTAGGGCTTTGGGCCAATTGAAAGTGTATTCAAAGACCATCTAAAAGAGCCTGGGGGGAAATGTCTATGGTTCAGCCCTGACCACAAGAAAGGGATTTTTTAAGGAATGAAACAAACTGAAGGCAGCTTCCAGGGACTACACAGCCTCTCGCCTCTGTGGAGTGGCTGCCGGGCTCATTCCTCTTCCACTGGAGGCACCAGGGATGTTTGACAGCCTTTCAGCTGTTGCTTAGCAACCCCTGCAGCATTGATTATGCATGCTAAGAAATAGCAGCTATTGTCCTTTTTCCTTCTCTAGAAGGAGCTGACTCTGGTTTGAAATCCAAGGCTGTATGTTCAGATTGACAGATGTCAGACTCCTGTAAATTCTGGTGCCAATGAGTTCAGAGCTCGAGTGATCCATAGGAAACTGTTTAGGATGGAAGTGGTCCTAAGACGCGTGCAGCACACTCAAGGTGCACAGGGCCGAGCGTGCCTCTCCTGTGAGAGTACCTGCTTGTTTGGATCCAACTGGATTGCCCTTTTCTTGATATTTTTGGATGACCTTTGTTTTGTGGAGGAATGGATTTGTCAACCATTTTTTCCCTTTACACTGAATTACAATCAAAGAACCCACAGAGAGGATGAGAAACAGAAACGAGTCTTTGATCAAACAGAGTTGCTTTACCTTTAAGTAAGTCAATTGCCAAGGAAACGCTTCATGGCAGTTTCCCTGCATTAACTGTGGATGCCTTAGCTATTTTTGGCTCCATCCAACCTGTGTTTCAATAGCTATAGTTCCTACAACATTCCCTTGTACTATGAATGCGTGCTGATATTTGTTTTTTAAATATAGCCACAAGTGTGCTTTGTAGGATTCATGTTCCTTCCTCTCCTTCCCCAGTAACTCAGATGTATTTCTAGATACATAAAGTGCTGAATATGAGAGAGACCTTGGAAATCGTATATAAAGCCCAAGCCTCATGTTTTATAGATGAGAAAATGGAGATTCAGGGAAGTTGAGTGACTTCCTCAAGGTGCAAGTCAAAGCAAGTTGCAGGTGTTGCCCAGGAAGAAGACCTGGCAAAATAAAAAATAGTGAAATCTGAATTCGGCAAGTGCTTTCTTGGGGATACAACTTAGGATTTTTGCTTTTCATATTTCTGAAATCCTTTCTGTCAACAGAGAAAATAATGTTGTTTTTTCCCACTAAGGGTTTGGGACAAGTTAACTGATAAACCCTCTTGCACAACACCATGAGGTAGACCCAAAGCAGCATCCAACACGCTGTTGCTGTTTCCATGTCCGGATGGCCCCTGCCCAGCCACTCGGTCCCAGTGACTCCTACTCATCCATCAGCTCTCAGCTCAGTTTTCCCTCTTTGGGAAGTCTTCCCTCTTTGGGAAGTCTTCCCTGTGCTCACTCCCTCATTTAGGTCAGACCTCCATATTATATGCTATTAAAACATCTGTACTTGTCCTTTATAGCATTTGTCAAGGTTTTAAAATTATATATGTGCTGTGGGCTTATTTAATGAGTGCCTTTGAATGTCTGTCTTCACTGTCAGAATGGCATGTTCTCCAGGGTGGGAACTGTGTCTGTTAGCACAGTGCCTAATATGTAATAGCATGCAATAAATGCTTGCTGAGTGAAGGAAGAGAAGGATGGGTGGCTGGGTGGGTGGATGAATGGAAAAACAGACCATGGAAATAATAACTTTTCAAGAAATTTCAGAGCTGGCAGTTGGCATTTCTAGGTAAAGAAATAATTTGATGATCTATTGATAGTCATAGAATTTTATAGCTGAAAGCACCTGTGAAGATGATATATAGAGAATAATGCAATCTAATGAGAAATCATGTTAGAAATGATTATATCACTATATAGAAATATAGAGCAATTATTGACATTCTTTGGCTTAACTTGCCCACTTGCCAATGAGGGAACAGGAACCCATAGGAGACAAATGACCCAAACAAAGTCACATTGCTTAAATGAGGTTATTTAATGTCAGATCTAGGATCAAACCTCCATCCAGTGCTCACTGTGCGGCACACATTCATTGGTAGAACTCCACGCACGCCCTAGTAAATCACATTGAGGAAATTCAACACAATGTCACTTACCAAATGATATAAAGGAGTATGTTAGTTATGCTCATTTGTATACAGGCATGAGGGGCACTTTCATATTTTCCCAAGTAGAAATTTAATTCAGGGGTGTAAGTGGAAATAT